TATCATCTAACATCATCTAATATCATCTAACATCATCTAATATCATCTCATATCATCTAATATCATCTCATATCATCTAATATCATGTAATATTATCTAATATCATCTAATATCATCTAATATCATCTAATATCATCTAATATGATCTAATATCATCTAATATCATCTCATATCATCTAATATCATCTAATATCATCTAATATCATCTAATATCATCTAATATCATCTAATATCATCTCATATCATCTAATATGATCTAATATCATCTAATATCATCTAATATCATCTAACATCATCTCATATCATCTAATATGATCTCATATCATCTAATATGATCTAATATCATCTCATATCATCTAATATCACCTCATATCATCTAATATCATCTAATAGCAGCTAATATCATCTAATATCATCTAATATCATCTAATATGATCTAATATCATCTGATATCATCTGATATCATCTCATATCATCTAATATCATCTCATATCATCTAATATCATCTAATATCATCTCCTATCATCTAATATCATCTCATATCATCTAATATCATCTAATATCATCTCATATCATCTAATATCATCTAATATCATCTAATATCATCTCATATCATCTCATATCATCTAATATCATCTCATATCATCTAATATCATCTAATATCATCTAATATCATCTCATATCATCTCATATCATCTAATATCATCTCATATCATCTAATATCATCTAATATCATCTAATATCATCTCATATCATCTCATATCATCTAATATCATCTCATATCATCTAATATCATCTAATATCATCTAATATCATCTAATATCATCTAATATCATTTAATATCATCTATATATCATCTCATATCATCTAATATGATCTCATATCATCTAATATCATCTAATATCATCTCATATCATCTAATATCATCTCATATCATCTAATATGATCTAATATCATCTAATATCATCTCATATCATCTAATATGATCTAATATCATCTAATATCATCTAATATCACCTAATATCACCTAATATCATCTGATATCATCTGAAATCATCTAATATCATCTAATATCATCTAATATCATCTAATATCATCTAATATCATCTAATATGATCTAAGATCATCTAATATCATCTAATATCATCTAATATCATCTAATATCATCTAACATCATCTCATATCATCTAATATGATCTAATATCATCTCATATCATCTAATATCACCTCATATCATCTAATATCATCTAATATCATCTAATAGCAGCTAATATCATCTAATATCATCTAATATCATCTAATATGATCTAATATCATCTGATATCATCTGATATCATCTCATATCATCTAATATCATCTAATATCATCTAATATCATCTCATATCATCTAATATCATCTGATATCATCTAATATGATCTAATATCATCTAATATCATGTAATATTATCTAATATCATCTAATATCATCTAATATCATCTCATATCATCTAATATCATCTCATATCATCTAATATCATCTCATATCATCTGATATCATCTGATATCATCTGATATCATCTAACATCATCTAACATCATCTCATATCATCTAATATCATCTCATATCATCTAATATGATCTAATATCATCTAATATCATCTCATATCAACTCATATCATCTAATATCATCTAATATCATCTAATATCATCTAATATCATCTAATATCATCTCATATCATCTCATATCATCTAATATCATCTAATATCACCTCATATCATCTAATATCATCTAATATCATCTAATATCATCTAATATGATCTCATATCATCTAATATCATCTAATATCATCTAATATCATCTAATATGATCTAATATGATCTAATATCATCTAATATCATCTCATATCATCTAATATCACCTCATATCATCTAATATCATCTAATATCATCTAATAGCAGCTAATATCATCTAATATCATCTAATATCATCTAATATGATCTGATATCATCTGATATCATCTCATATCATCTCATATCATCTAATATCATCTAATATCATCTAATATCATCTCCTATCATCTAATATCATCTCATATCATCTAATATCATCTAATATCATCTAATATCATCTAATATCATCTCATATCATCTAATATCATCTCATATCATCTAAGATCATCTAATATCATCTAATATCATCTCATATCATCTAATATCATTTAATATCATCTAATATCATCTCATATCATCTAATATCATCTAATATCATCTCATATCATCTAATATCATCTCATATCATCTAATATCATCTAATATCATCTAATATCATCTAATATCATCTAATATCATCTAATATCATCTAATATCATCTAATATCATCTAATATCACCTAATATCATCTAATATCATCTAATATCATCTAATAGCATCTAATAGCATCTAATAGCATCTAATATCATCTAATATGATCTAATATCATCTATAATATCTACTCATTAATATAGTAAATGCTAAAGAAAATACTAAAGTAGATACATGAAGAAAGTTGTTTCCCAGAGCGGCTAAGATAGGAATCATGACTCTCAGAAGGGGATCATCATGATGTCCTCATTTCGTGCGGGGAGATCGGGCTTCATGGAGGAATAAGGGTTGCAGCAGGTAGGCAAGAGGAAAAACTGTTGTCCTGGTGTTGTAGTCAATTGCAGTCAATAGTTACTAGCATTTGGGTGAATAAAACAGTCAATATGTGTCAATATCTACCCGACTGGATCTGTTTGAAAACAGGCGAACCCAACAAAACGTTGATGGATTATCATAATTGTCCTTCCCCGTAAAAGGAAAAACTGTGGATAATAAATATGTTTTTTGCTACTTAGAACGTAGGCATAAATCAACACTTAGAACGTAGGCATATTTTCAACACTTAGAACGTAAACCAACACTTAGTAGAACATTCCAAGTAGTTGTCCGTCGCATGTGTATGAATAAATAACATTTAAATGTATGTATGTATGTATGTATGTATGTATGTATATATATTATGGGTACGTTCTAAGCGTTAAATTTTGGGTACGTTCTAAGTGATGAATTTTGGGTCCCACCACCTTCTAAGTGATGAATTTCTCACGTTCTAAAAGTAACACTTAGAACTTCCTTCCAGCTCTAATGAACAAAACATGTTTTCCAAAATACATTCTAAGTAATTGTTCGTCACTATATACGTATGCATATACCCTCTGGTAAACGTTTACATAACTATGGAAAATCACTATTTTTAATAGGAAAATCCACTATAAATGGCCATTTTCAATAGCTATGTCAGCTATTACCAGAGGGTACACAATTTTTAGACACCCAATGACCCATTTTTCTACTGCCAAAAATCGCTTGAGCCTCACCAGGAACTGCGCCACTGGGCCACATCGCCTGGGAGATGTATCTCATCCAGAATGATCATATTCTGAATAGTTATGCATGACTATGGACAATTATGTATGACTATGGATAATTATGGATAATTATTTATGACTATGGATAATTCTGGATGATTACCCATGATACATTCCGCTTACAAAGTGTATACAGTAGTTGGTGCAGAATCCTAGTCACGGTCATTTAGATTTGATGAAATTGAACTGACCAAAAAGGAAGGAAACTCATCTCAAGATTGAAATAATGTTTCTTCTGCCCAGGATGATTGGATAAATGGAAGAAGCCACATAGTGGTGATTTGGCTACGGAAAGGGCAAATATAGATAATATTAGATGACGGAGTATCACCGAGCAACTTCAGCTATGGCAACCTGCAATGGGCCTAATCATCGAAGTGGTGGAGTGGAATTGAGGGAAATACTGCAGGAAAGCATGTTACTCTCCATGTTGTTTTCTTCTTTTCTCAATTAGGGATGGACAAGGACTGGAAGTTAACAACTTACACCCACCATGCCCACCATGATGCAAGAAACATTCAAGCCACATGGACAAATGCAGAATCACTTCACACTTCACATGTTTCGATTCCATGGAGAGCATCCCCTTCAGCTCTTCACCATGGAGAACCTGCTGAGTTGCGAAAGGTCTCTGGAACCGTAGGCCCATTGTGTCACAAAGCCACCTGGAACCATGGGCCCGGTCGCGCCGGTCGGGGGATGATCCATGGGAAAAAATCATCACCCGGTCCGACTTGGGAGAATTGTTGAAACATGTTGAAATTTCATTATCATGGCCACCCAAAAATGGATGTTCAATATTCAATTCCTGTACCTTGAAGGGCTGATTTTTTGGTATGTCAACTAAGTTTGTTCATTGTGTTCGTACCACATCCGCATGTTCCCATAGTTGTTGGCACTTGGTTTACCAGAGTAATTACCCAGAAAAATTGCTTTGTTCTTCAAGTTTGATGGCTCGCAGAAGGTATGAGTGACTAGCAACCATATAGGTTCGCATGCATACATATATAGAAATGTATAGACACAATGGAGGATACCCCGAAATGGCAATTTGAATCCAAAAAATGGTTTAAGCCGTGGGATTTGGGCATCCAATTTAGATTCTACATAATTCTACCACTTATGTATACACATATAGTCATATGTATATATATTATACAAATTATACATATATATATATGTGTATATATATATATATTATTATTAATATATACAGTATATATGTATGAATTGATTGATCTATATATTAACACGCTAATATCTTTATATTCACCAATGACTAGCCGGCCGACTCATCATGATGAAAGAGTTCACCGCCACATTGGCCCTGTCCGTAAAGACGCTGGCCTCAGCATCCACCAAGGCGGACACCTTAAGAGTTAGGCCCTAACTTCGTCTGTTTGGGGAAAAAACATATAAATATCATGGATATTTACAAATTTATACATATATATATATGTATGACCTTGATTCTGATATTCTAAGGGTTGTTTTCGAACGATATTCTCAGTCAAAAGCATCACGATATTTTGGTATCAGCCCCCACGATTCGAAACTTCACCATCCACTGGCGTCCCGCAATTTCCTATGCGTGCATGTATGTATAGCATGTAAGTACACTGTGTAAATATAAATATATAGACGTAGATACAGTATAATATATATATATATTATATTTATTTATTCATGTTCATGTCATAAACAACAAATAATGAAATGAAGATATGACCTGCGATGACACAAAGTTGACAATCCTTGGAGCGGTAAAAAATTGTTTCCCGGCGCCTCTGATTTTCATCCCTATCTATCTATCTATATATATATATGTGATTGTGTGTGTATGTCAAATGGATTCACTCAAACTCACTCCCACCAAAACAAGTGATTTGACAAGTGTCAACTGTATTTTTTTGACGGTTCATCTAGGGGTCTAACGGATTCATTTAAGCTATCAAATATATTTTATGTGGTTTAATCGACAATATGGAACAGCGTTCCTAAAACATGATTACAACCTTTCTACCCTCCAGTTAAGCAACGATATGCAACGAAAAAACACTAGCATGTGTAGTTCTTTTTTCGCATCAAAAACATGGTGTTTTTCATGGTTTTTCCCATGACTTGTTAACCCCAGGGTATAACCTGGGAGAACCCCAGTGGGGGCGTTCCTGCCGATGTCGTTGGGGATGTCCCAGGGACGCGATGCGCGAAATGATCCGCTAAGATCCAAAGGGACAGCAGGGACCGCGCGCCCGTCAGATGCACAAGCTGACCTGGGGCTTCCTATAGGCTCTCCACAGGATGGTGCCCCCCAGTTATAAGTTGGTTTATAAACCCCATTAACTATAGTTATAATCTACCATAAACCATAGTTATGGGAGTTATTTGCACCAACTTAGCTAACTATGGGGCACCACCTTGTAGGCTCTCCATGGCTCTCCATGGCTCATTGACTTCCCCCCCTCTGAAACTTCACCCACTGATATAATATGATATAATATGTATTGATATGTCCATTTTGATGGGGACAATATGATGCTTAACAGAGTGAAAACTCTGTAGCCCTACTTTGGACCCAACATCCCAGTTATTAGGGTGGTAAATTGGGTAAAGAAAAAGGCAACACCACTCATTTGCCGCCCTTGTGGCCATGATTTACGTACAGTAGGTTGGAGCAATCCTGCCAGTTGTGGATGGTTTGGGAGTAAGTTGGGGGCACAAGTCATGCGACAGCACTTGATTCTCGGACATTGTTCAACTGAGGTAGATACAAGGTGGTGCCCCAGTTCGTTAGCTAAGTTGGTGCAAATAACTCCCATAACTATGGTTTATGGTAGATATAACTATAGTTAATGGGGTTTATAAACCAACTTATAACTGGGGGGCACCATCCTGTAGATAGGAATCATGATGTACTAAGTGGGGTGACTCTCTGGCAATGAAACCTGGCAATGGAAAAAGTGGATGATTTTCCCATGAATTAAAACCTCCAATTATAGATATTTATAGTAGTGTGTTTGACTACCAGAGGGTATCCATCCTATCAGTGGATGAGCTGTGGTTTTTTTTCCTTGGCGCAATCAGAGCGGCCTTGATCTTCCTGAGTGCGGCCGTCGCCGGGGGTTGCTCCTGACCAAACTCCATGTGTAAAACGTGACTCTTTCGATAGAGCCACGCGCTTCAAACGTCCAATGGAAAATATGTCAAAGCACCATCCAGTTGTGGTTGAATCCCGATAAATTGGAAAAAATAACCCCTTTCTGGTTGCTGAAACCAAAAATGTGGTGATTAATATTGCAAATATGTTGATAAGATCACCATAGATCACCATTGTTTCTGCTTCGTAAAGCCCCCGTTGTTGAGGGAATGTTCACCATTAGAATGGTGAAATCCCTGATGTTTTAAACAGGATCCCACTTTTTCTTTATTAAAAAATGACCATGTTTTGCTGGCTTAAGGTTAAACGGTTAAACCCAGTTCTTTGTGGGCTTCAAATGGTCGATTTTTGCGTATCAACCCTTGAATTCTGCATTTTTGGGATTTTGGGGTCCGAATCCATCCGAATCCATCATGTCTAGGTCACAATTTGACAATCCCCCACAGCGGAAAATCCTCCTCTGAGCAGCTTATCTTTGTCGTTCACCAACTCGTCTCGCGACTCGCCCCGTTTGGAGCTTGAGGCCTTCGGCGGTTTCGCCATGAGAAAAATGTGGGGCATTTGACGTGGGGATGTGAAAAATCTTGGAAAAATATTGGAAGATCCGGGAACATGTTGGAAAAATACGGAAAAAATGATGCTCGACTCATCCATGAAATTGTTTTAGGGGGGCCCCTCCTCAACCTTTTCAGAAACCTGAAACCATCCCCAATTGGACCAGAAACGGCTGGTAAAAACCACGCCAAACAGGAGCTTAGCCCAGAACTTCAGCAGGATTTGTCGTGAGATTCCACAAGTTGTGGCCATTAGATGTTGGGGAGGGATGGGGAGAACAAAGTTGGAGACCTCAAATTGGGTGAGATGTTTTGAAAATGAGAGGTGACTCTCTAGTACTGTATCTTAGAATCTAAAAACAACCTTGACTCCATAGTATGGAAATTGGCAATTACCTTGTAGTATGATAGTATGAAACTAAAAACGGTTTTGAGATGAAAAATGCCGTATCCAAATGACACCAGTCCATCAGTGCCCGCCTGAAACATGGGAACGCGCAGCTGCGCAACTTTGGCGCAGACACGTGCAGAGCTTTGTCTGCCTGGACTTTTTTGTATGAAGACTTGGGTTTGTCAGTCTGATATACCCAGATATGCCCGCAGATTACTGCTAATTGGTGGTTTCAACCCCCCTGAAAAATATTAGTCAGATTGGATAATCATCCCAACTATTGGGGAAAATAAAAAATGTTCCAAACCACCAACCAGACTGCCATTTTGATAAGGAAAATATAGGAAAATGATGATAATCCACCCAGGTGTGTTGGACTGGTGGCATTTTGCTGCTGCATCTTTTCCCAACGAATTTGCCCATTTTCACGTCACCCAAATTGTGTCGTTTCACCCGGGACATGTCTGGGGACCACCGATCCACCATTGAGCTCAAGTGGGCTGCAGTCACGGTTCCATCATTGATCCGGGCACACAGGTCGGCCAGAGAGGTGACTCTTGAAAAAGGCTACCCTTGTGCTCCAAAAAACTGGGCGATGTCCAAAGTGGAAAGCCAAAAATATGATATGTCAATTGAAAATCCAAATAAATGTGAAGTCACACATACCCTATGGATTTTTCGCATCAAATCTTGCTGCAAACCTCTGAGCCACTTCCCATCCGGGCCCCGAGCAAAGCAACTTTGGCTCGGCCAAAGACACTGCCCTGGCACAACCGGGCCCACATTTGATCAATGAATATATAGTTTAACTGTCATTTTAGTAACAATATTAACCATGACAATAATTGATCATTATTTTGGCACTATATAGTGTTCAATGAAAAATGTTCATGTTTGGAAATCCCTCAAGTGCTTGATCATGCGAAGACCCTCGGACCCATCCAAGGATGCAGGGAAACCATCATCCAGCCATATTAATAATACTAATATCATCCAAACGAAAACTGCGTTTGGATGGACACCAAAAATCATGGGATCAAAAATCAAAGGCCTTTGAAACAACTGATCATTTTTTGATCCAATTGGTCATGTTGTGGCCGTCCCTTTTTTAAGGGCTACCGTCCCTCCAAAACCATTCCACTGCAACCACTGCCGTCGCCTCCTGATCAGGAGGTCGTATCCTACCACTCCAAACCTCGGGGTCCACTCACCCAAACCGAGGTTTCAATCAGCAACAAAGGTACGTACAATATACTATGATATACTATGATATGAGCATAAGGGATAGGTAGTTCGTTAGTCATCGGGGTGAACCAATCTCGCCAATAGATGGAATATCACCGCAGGAAGTTTGGACTTTTGATAAGACACTGAGGCATCTGAACAGCGGAGGAGAAAAGTCATGACATTCTTTATTTTCTTCTCAGTTTTGTTGCTTCTGGAGAGTCTTTTATCATCCAGGTCGTGATGACTCGTACCTGTTAACGGCAGTAAGCTGTATACTATTGTCCAACGACCATACTATGTACGAACCATCCAGCACCTGTAGCCCAATAACCGATAGCCAGTTGTTAAGACATCCAGCCAACCGGCGAGCCAAAAGACTGAAAGACCTTAATGCCGACGCCCAAATGCTTCGCCACCTGCGTTGCTTCCAGCTCTGAACCCAGCCCCTAGTCATCACAAAATCGTTCAAAGCCCCTGGTCACGGCTGGTCATTTGAAATTCATCCCCCTGTGTAAAATCATAGGAGCCATGACCCGTCATGTGTAAATGTCGATCACACGGACATGGCAAACTGTTCCACTCAGAAAGTGATCCTCCAAGAAAGATCTAAAAACTTCAACACCCAATAGGAAAATCACAGGTGACCTGCGACCGCTCTGCAGGTAGCCCAGTGGCACGCCTGCCAGTAGAGACCTTCGTCATAGTCCAGCAAGGCTTTCAAGGGGCCGCGGCAGCATTTCTGGAAGGACCTCAGGAGATATGGCTTTCAGTAGGGGAAAATCCCCCGAAAATCTATAGTTACGCAGCTGGTGGAGCCCGGGCTCCGGAAAGTGGTAGATGTAGCCATATAAGAATCGCCTCAGAGTTTGGCTGGCGAGAAACATCAATCTCAATGAATTCTATTCATATTAAGTTTTAGTAAATGATGATCAATTATGACAAATTATGATAAATCATAGTAATTCACTAAGTCACTAAGCTAAAATAAGGTGAAATAAGACTGTTTTGGGAGGTACGCCAATCCGATCCTTCTAGTGACATGGCGACAGTTGGTGGCATCTTGGGTCTCCAAACTCAATGCCCAGCAGGGGAAACGCCGCGAGTTCAAAATTCATGGCGCGGAAGCCACGGCCACGTTTTCACAGTTTACCCCGGGCGTCACTTCTGTCAGTTCTGTTGTTCCAATTTCTGTGCCAGTGGGTACTGGGTGCTAGGTGTTGGGTGAGGCAGACATGAGCGACCAACAAGAGTTAGGGATGTTGCTGTCAAGTCCCAGCTAAATGATCCATTGGTCCATGATATTGTTGCGTTGTTTTTCTGCTACCAGAAACAATGCGGAAAAAAGAATGCTTCAAAGCCTACTGCGGAAACTCACCACGTGCGTAGGAACCCCGGGCAACTCCAATCCAAGGCTATGGTAATTACAGAAACGCCCAATACACCCATATGTTTTTGTGCGGCTTGCATAATTTGTCTACATACTCTATATATATATATACAATCAATGTATACATACTGTACATATTTATCACACGGGGGATCATCAACCTGGCTGACCGGCTGCCCCCAACACACAGTTTATCGAGAAATTGATCCAATATTGAAGGTCGCAGTGAGTCAGGGATATATGTATTTCAATTATGTACCCACCTTTATATATATATATATATGTATATATATATATATGTACATGTAGATCTACAGATCAACATATTCAGTTGCCAACTTACCCATCACCACCTCCCCCAGATCTCATCTTTTCAGGCCAGCACCGCCTGCACAACAATTGGCTCCGCCGTGTCCAGTTCGGTCACGGCAGGGAGAAGTGACACTGGGCAGCCAGAGATCTCCAGTAGCATGGCAGAACAGCCTTCCACCCAACTTGCCTGGGCGTTCCACGGGCCGAAAGCTGAGTGGCTGAAGATTTATGTTACATATTTATGGGATAATAAATGGGATCTAAATATCTATTCACCAAATATATATATATACATATATATATGTATAATGTATATACATATATATATATAATATGTCGGATTCTTCTTCAGAAACGGTTTCCGCGGCAGTGTGTTCTACAGTGCTTTTTGGTTGAGGAATCACCTATACATATCACAAAAAAGGGGCCGGGGGTTAATCCTTGGGTTGTTTTTTTTCCAGAAACATTGCAGGAAGATTATTGTTTTTGTTTCTCATACTCTAGATTTTCACTTCAACCAATTCTCGCATTCACGGAACCCCAACTTGATTGGCTTAGAGATTTTGATGGTGTGAACTCACAGCCCATGTCAATTTTACCAGTGCCATTTTGCCGTACCACCGCCAGGACCCAATTAGATCATTTTGTAGGCGTCAAAGGGCAATGTTTTGAAGCCAGAAGAAATGAAGCAACATTGAAATCATCTGGTCAGGGACACATATATAAATTCTTGTATCCTTTGTAGTTTAGTACCCTAGGGTAAACTAATATAATTAGATGTGGAAAATCAACCATTTGTAGATGATTTTCCTAAGAAAAGCATTGGTTTTCTCTATGTTACTTTACCCTAGGGTAACCATCTCAATTTTGCACTTCCTGATTTCTGCCGGTGATATCTCCTCCAATTCCTCCGAGTTCTCTGAGGCGCAGTTGGGCCCCAACTGGGCCCCAACTGGGCCCCAGACCGCCGCCAAGAGCACGAAGAGATGCCAGAACTGCGGACACCAAACAGAACTGGGAGATCATGGGATAAGTTTAAGAACTTCCTGACTCCAGGATCATCTCAATTTCTTAATTATGATCAGATGTACATGTGGATGTACATATATATATATATGTGTGTGACCATTTATCTGTATATACATATATATATATATACATATCTTTTTTTGATGTGTATGTATATATACACACATAATACATATGTGTATGTACATGTGTACATTTGTATTATCATGCACATATACATCATATACAATATCATATGATATCATACGCACATGTCTGTGCATGTATATACTGTATGTATATATATGTGTGTGTGTGGTTGAAAATCATGATTGTTCAACCTTTTGGATCAGTAACACCAAATTTTGTCTTGGAGCCTTCGCTGATTTGCACTGGTAAATCATCCAAAATTCAAGGGGATCACTGCAGTTGTTGTGTCACTTCCCCAAGAAGATTCCAATTGGATCGGAATAGCTGCAGTTGTTATTTAAACTTCCAATAGTAGCAATTGTCGGATATGTCTGGGTAAATGATAATATTTCACTGACCTGAATTAAGGCCATTTGGGGATGATTTCCCTTATGAACCATGATATATGAATATTCAATTTGTGCATATCGTATCCTGTAGCCAGACTCTTTGACCAAACTCTGGCATCAAATCCAAGGTCCGAACCCGGGGGCCCGGCACAATCTTGGGGCGGTGAATATAGATGTCTTTAGTACCAACCATCCAATTTTAGGGCAGTTAAACATACTTAAACCATGTGAAACCCATACCCACGTAAGTCCTGGTTCACATGGGTTTGCCACTGCTCCATTGACCGAGATGATTGGAAAGATCATCACCCTAAGTGTTAATCACTTCACGGCAACATCAACCACCCAGAAAAGGCCAATTCCCGGTGCAATTCCCGGCACAGGATGGTGCCCCCCAGTTATAAGTTGGTTTATAAACCCCATTAACTATAGGTATATCTACCATAAACCATAGTTATGGGAGTTATAAACCAACTTAGCTAACTATGGGGCACCACCTTGCAGGAAAGTGTCATCTTTTCACCAAGGGCTGATTCCAATTCACTGCCATGTTGGCAGGCATGACCGGCAGCCGACCATGCCGACCATGCCGCGGCGGCTTTTCGTGCGAAGCGGAGTGCAGTGGAATTTCCGTAATCAACAGGCCCTCCTCGCCTCGGTCGAGATGAACGGCATGGTGTTCGGTGAAGAAGGGCTTGGAGTGACGAAGGTCAACAAGAAACGCTGTTCTTCTGGTAGTTACAAAAAAAACGATATAAGTTGATATGGGTATGTCTGAAAATGGGGTATACCCCCAATTATAGCCATTTAGTAGGGATAATGATCATTAACCATTGGGTGTAGGGGTACACTATTTTCAGACAACACCATATAAGTGTTTGTACTGATTTTCATACACGTAAAGCAAATCTTGGGTCCATTTCAGGCTTTGACCCGAGACGGAAAATTGTGCCCTAAGATCCCAACCTTAAGATCTTCAACGGCCCAGCGAGACGTGACCAAAAAAACAACAGCAAAACACTAGCCCAGTTGGTGGTGTGTCTGAAAAACACGATGGGAAAATTGTTTTCATGGGAAAAATAGGATGAAAAATACCATATAGTCAATATACCATACCCCCCCAGATGGTTTTTGGTCGGGAAAATGATGTAAAAATGCAATCATTGTGGCACCATGGCTGGGTTCGCCATGCCAGGTGGCTGGCAGACAGCTTCTCCAGAACTCTCTGTGTCCGAAGATCAATCACCTACTGGCTGATCCATATGGATCCACGGACGGGTTGCCAGTTGGCAAAAGAAAAAAAAGTCGTCCCCATCACCGAAAAAAAGGGCTAGTTAGTTAGATGATACCCTCTGGTAATATGGAAAATCACCATTTTTACTGGGAAAACTCACTATAAATGGCAATTGTCAATAGCTATGCTAGTCATTACCAGAGGGTATATGATGATATTGCATCCACAAGAATCCGTCATCAAAAAGCTAAAGACAAGTTGAAAAAAAAAACAAAAACAACCCTTCAGAATTGTCCTCACCAAGTTGCGCAGCTGGTGCCACAGAATTGATTTTCAAGATCTGTGGTGTGGCCCAAGAGACCTGGGTTCGAGGAAATGTCTTTGTTGGCTGCCAGCAGAAACCAAAAAAAAAGGAAGGGACATGTTACAAACACCCTCCACCAGCGGGTAGGAGTCAAGAGAAGTTGGGTACCCTCTAGTAATCAAACATGGCTGGCTGGAAAAGCTACCATCTATAGTTGATATAAAAACCCTCCACTTTCAGGGGATGACTCCGAAAAGTTACCCATCTCTGGGTCCCAAATGGAAAAGCAATTCCTGCGCTGGATGCGTTTGCAAATTCTGGGATCATTCCCCATGTTTATACATACATATTATAATGATACATATATATATATATATGTAGCAACCCAAAAAACGAATGGAAAGGTTTGAAACAAACTGTAACTACTCCAAGAGTGATGAAAATTGTTTTTTCCATCTTTTTGGGGATGACCGTCATCGATGATAAATCCGCAGAGAGACTCAAAGGCTCGGAGCCGACGCGATCGGCGCAGACAAAGAAGACATCCTCCAGTCCATGGGTTTAATGGGATTTAATAGGAATCTAATGGGGATTTGATGGGATTTACTGGTGATTTAATGGGATTTTTAACTGTGATTTAATGGTGATTTAATAGGAGTTAATTAATGGTGATTCAATGGGATTTAATGGTGATTTAATGGGATTTAATGCATTTTCATCTGGACAAAGGTGTTTTAATGGGATGCAATGGCATATTAATTGGATATGAACTGAGTTTTAGTCGGTTTATTATGGGCCAAATATGAAATGGGAATTACTGTATACCGACACATATCCCCAATCGCTACGGGAATAAGCCGCAAGATACAAGTTTGGATAGGTTTGGCAATGACTTGGAATAACCACCTGACTAAGTGATTATGTATTTCATCAATAAAGGGGAAATCGGTCAGTAGTAGTACATGTAATAATCATATTATAAATCAAATCAAGCGAATTGATTGCAACATATTCCCAGTTGTACTTGGGGCCGGGCAACTCAAATTGACCTGATTGCCCCATGTTTTATGGCCGTTTAAGCCTTGAAACGGTCACTTACACACATCAAAACGGTCACTTTGAACATGGGCAAAGCACCAACCACCCACGAAGTATAAGTCTGATCGCGACAGGATCTGGGGACTTGCCAAGGCATGACTATGATCCAATTTTGAAAGTAAAATCCCTCCTTTCTGTTTTCCCCATCTCCATACATACCAGACGTTTGCCGGTTGAAACAACCGTTTTTTAATAGTTGTGATCAATTTTGCTGAGTAAAAATCCCCATGTTGCTACAGCAAATCACCTGTGTTCCTGGGAGGCGCCACCCAGGCGCGTTGCTTCAACACGTTCCATTGGGACTATCTCCTTGAAGATGGGTATCATTAAATCCCAATTAATGTGCCTCGGAAATCATCCAATGAAAATTACAATTATGATTGTCCCATCTCAAATGACACATCCCAATATTAGTGAAAGGCGATTATCCTAATGTTATCTCTATATATACCAATATCAATACATATATTCCAAATATATCCCAATATTCCTGATGAATATATTTTAATAAAGTGTCGCGAATACGTTCAGTTTATATCAGTTTATATCAGTTTATATCAGTTTATATCAGTTTATATCAGTTTATATCGGTTTATATCAGTTTATATCAGTTTATATCAGTTTATATCAGTTTACATCGTAATATTGATGGTTGTAATTTGGATTATATATATATACACACCATATATCATATATATATATATCCCAATATTGATTTTATACATACATCTATATATATATATATATATACATCCCGATATTAGTTGCACACAGTATCCCAAATGACATACTCTCCAGTAATCAAACCTGTCAAAGGAAAATTCGCTATAAATGGAAATTTAATGGGAAATCATCTGTAAACGCAGGATTTTCCAGCTAGCCATGTTTGATTACCAGAGGGTACCCCAATATATGTCCCAATATATCCGCCGACCCCGGCCTTCGCCAAGGCCGGGGCGGCGCCTGGGACCACTGCAGGTGTGGAACTTGCCCCAACAGGCACCCCAGGGCCAAGGCCACAGCAATGGCTTTCTATGGGCTTTCAAAGCTGCCGTTATGGGCTTTCAAAGCTGCCGTTTGCCCGCCCGCAAACGCTCCAAACCTTCCAAAACCTTCCAAACCCTCCAAACCCCCCAAAACCTTCCAAACCCTCCAAGCACCGTCCCCAGCAGGAGCCCCAGTGCCAAGGCCACAGCAATGGCTTTCTATAGGCTTTCAAAGCTGCCGTTTGGTAGCCCGCAAACCCTCCAAAACCCTCCAAAACCCTCCAAACCCTCCAAACACCGTCCCCAGCAGGCACCCCAGGGCCAAGGCCACTTCCCGAACAGGCACCCCAGTGCCAAGGCCACAGCAATGGCTTTCTATAGGCTTTCAAAGCTGCCGTTTGCCAGCCCGCAAACCCTCCAAAACCCTCCAAACCCTCCAAACACCGTCCCTAGCAGGCACCCCAGGGCCAAGGCCACTTCCCGAACAGGCACCCCAGGGCCAAGGCCACAGCAATGGCTTTCTATGGGCTTTCAAAGCTGCCGTTATGGGCTTTCAAAGCTGCCGTTTGCCCGCCCGCAAACGCTCCAAACCTTCCAAAACCTTCCAAACCCTCCAAACCCTCCAAAACCTTCCAAACCCTCCAAACACCGTCCCCAGCAGGCACCCCAGGGCCAAGGCCACTTCCCGAACAGGCACCCCAGGGCCAAGGCCACAGCAATGGCTTTCTATGGGCTTTCAAAGCTGCCGTTGCCAGCCCGCAAACCCTCCAAAACCCTCCAAAACCCTCCAAACACCGTCCCCAGCAGGCACCCCAGGGCCAAGGCCACTTCCCGAACAGGCACCCCAGGGCCAAGGC